GTGTGGCTCCCTCCACCTCTCGGGGCGACCACCCGTTGTTGTGCAAGATGCTGTCTTCACAATCATAGGGGCCCAGATGAAGCCACTGGCTGAAGGTGACGCGACCGCGTTCCTTAGCGTTCATGTGGGTTTCCACGTGATCCATCACAAGTCCACGCTCGCAGACATCACTGAGCTGGGCCTTAAAATCGCCAGGAGCAAGCTTGCTCCATGGTAAAGACTTGACGCGCTCAAAACTTTTTTTCCCCTCTGCGGTCCACCTCCAGCCCATGGGGACGTTTGAAAAAACGGACTGGAAAAAGATGGACAGCATATTGAGGCCAGAGATCAAGGCAACTCTTAACCTTCCCCAGGAAGCCTCGAACGAATACCTATATGGATCTACGTTGCATGGTTGCTGTGGCATACCTCTATTAGCAGAGGACTCTGACATCACTGCCATCGACAGTGCGTTCAAGCTGTTAACTTTCCCCGATGGTAGAGTTGTCAGAGACGCTGACGATCTTATTAGGAATACTTCTCGGAGGAGGATCGGGAGGCCTCCCACGAACTCAGAGCTGAGCGAATACCTATCCGGGTCGAACGTAGGCCCGTTCGCTGAAAACCGGGGAAGCGGCGTGGCCAGCGTGTGGTCAAGGGCCCGCAACGCCTCCGTGAGGGTTTCCGCAACCTGGACATTGGACGGACCCCCCACTCTCACCCACCAAGGCACCACGATGCGTGAAAAACAGGAGGGAGGTGACGCGGACTATCCGGGACCATTTCAGAGCCGTGAGGGGTCAAGCCCTAATTAAGAAACCGGACCAGGGCCGGGCGGTGGTATGTGTAGCTGCCCATCCCACCTCGTGCCACTTTGTCAAGAAGGGCGAATTCTGCAGATTAGCTGACTAAAGATTCGTCCACAGAGCAAGACTCAACCTGGTACCGCTCAATGGGTCGTCCTCATGGAGAACTGGTCACCGCCGATGTAGACGTTGTGGGCACACAACAGAAAGCCTCGCCCACGTCGTCAATCATTGTATGAGGTACACCAGCCTCTACATGGCCTGGCATAACTCCCTCGTGTCGCGGCTGAAAAAGGCAGCTGCATGGAAATTTGAGGTAGTATCTGAAAACCAGGCGGTTGGCGCTCAACGCCCCAGGCCTGACCTTATCCTCAGAAGGGGCACCACCACCCTGGTTATCGACGCCACGGTACCCTTCGATAACAGGATGAAGGCTTTTGAGGACGCTGTTGCTGAAAAGAAGGCCAAGTACGAGGACCTCAGGAAGGAGATCGCCACCGAGCACCCTGGGGAGGTCACAGTCTTCCCATTTATCGTAGGCTCCCTGGGTTCGTGGGATCCGGCCAACGACGTGCTGCTGAGGCAGTTATGCAGCAGATCATACGCCAAGCTCATGCGGAAACTATGCGTCAGTGAAGTCATCGGATACTCCAGGGATGTCTTCACCGAGCACATAACCGGAGTTCGAGCAAGACATGGCTGAGCCGGAATCTTAATTTAAAAATTGTCTAGGTTTAAATTAATTTTATTTTATATTGTAGTAGCATCCTGATGGTCTTGCTTTTTTCATGCTGATTATCTCATTATCCATGTATCCCTCAACAATTATGTATCCCCCCACCTTTGTTTACCCCCATATTTTGTTAGCCACCATAAATATTTTTTAATATACCTCTGGTGGACTCTGGTTAGGGCATATATCGTTCCTTGGGGTGTTCAGTGAGCTGCTCCCGACCCAACCGTTGCAACGTGCATCAAAAAGTGATCCGCTGGCTATCCGACTGAAGGCGAGAACCATTTAGTCCACTCGTCCCTCGAGACGTCGCCACTCGACATTCGCCCCCCACGTATATACCGGTGTGGGTTTTTGTGGTGTAAGGTGGGTCGAGTGGATCGTCTCATTTGTTAGTGAATTTTTTGTTGTGAGTTTTTTCCAACGTGTTCATTCTTTTCTCCGTGTTAACCTTTTTTTTTATAAACTCCGTGCGCAAACCTCATCACCGGGTTCGGGTTTAAGCCCGGTCCCGGTGTTGTTGTAAGTCTGGGTGGACCAACAGAGGCTTGCTTCTGCCGCTGAGGTCTGAAAAGACCTCATACATCGAACAGATCAGACTCGCGCCACTATAGGAGTTATAATTGTGCGGTTAAAAATGCGTTTTTTTTCTCGTCGTCCAGCGGTCCGCCACGTTTTAGAGCCGCTGGAACTTGTGAGTTTTTTCGCGAAGCGACCGGCTGGTGTCCGCATATTGGCACAGCTGTTCAGTGTCTAGTCTTGTGAGTTCTAAATCGACCAGCTGATCGCCGTCTATTGGAGCTGTCTGGTCTTCTCCGTGTCTTGTGATTTGTTTTCGACCAGCTGAACGCCGCCTCTTGGAGCAGTCTGGTCATCTGTGTGCCACGTGAGTTTTTGAAAATTTTTATTTCCGTCGTTCCGGCGTACCTGGTGCGTCGCAGGTGCGCCCCGTGGGTCGGGTCATATGGCCGCCCTCTCTGGTGGAAGCCAGGGGGCCGGCCCATCCACCCGTTCTGACCCGGTGCCGCCACTAGACTGTGTCGAGTCGGATAGCGATTCTATGTCCGACTGTGGTAGCTCCGGGGAAGACGATGCGCCAGTTAGTCGTCAGTAGCCCACGCTCATCAATCGTGTACTCACGCTCTGGTTTCCGCTCCCTGCAACTGTGGATTGTCCGCACGACCGTTGTTGATTTTGGAGCAGTCTGGTCACCACTCCATGTCCCTGTGAATTATACTTCGTCCAGCTGAACGCCACCTTTTGGAGCAGTCTGGTCGAATTCACGTGAGTGTTTTACGGTTTTTTTTCTTTTGTGTCAACCACTATGGCCGCCCACACTGGCAGCAGCCAGGTGGCCGGCCCATCTAATCGAGTCTCCGTGGTGCCGCCGCTAGACCGAGACCAGTCGGATAGCGACTCCGTGTCCGACTGTGTTAGCACTACGGATGACGATGCCCGTCCACCCGCACAGCGCAGACAGCCCAAGTTCGAGGGCCGATGCCTCACCATCTGGTTTCCGATGCCCGCGACCGTTAAGTGTCCGTGCACTGGCTGCTCTGCCCGCTTTCGAGTGAAAGTGTGGACGAGCGCAAAGCAGTCCGTCGCTCGGCACATCAGGGACATGCACGATGGCGTGGACTCCACGGTGGTGAGGTTTGTGGGGTGCGAAATCACCCTCGGGGTGCGTCCGGGCGCGCACAAGTGCCGGTACGCGATCGAAGAGGACGAGGGCGTGGTTGAAAGGTTCCTTTGCACGGTGGACGGCTGTACCGAGTCGTTCCCGAGCAAGCAAGGCCTTACTAACCACGTTCAAAGTCACCGGAGACGAGATGCCCTGGAAGCTGCAGAGGTCCCGCTACCAGCACCTGCGACGCGGCAGAGAACGCGATCTCACCCCGCCGTGCGCCCAGTGCGAGGGGGCGACGCCCGCGTTCCTGCGGAAGAAATGGTGGAAGCGATGGATGACGTGCCAAGGATACTGGCTGGTAACAGACCGCCGGACACAGGCGGCTCGGTCCCGCACACGAGAGCTGAGCCAAGGATACCGGTCGGTAACAGACCACCGGACACAGGCGGTCCAGCCTCAACATCAACAGGAGGTGCGCCAAGGATACCGGCTGGTACAAGACCGCCGGACACAGGCGGCCCACCCCTGCCAAGACCCAGCATGCGGCCCACATCGACCAGGCGGGCCACGCCGGTGAGGCCGCGCGGGGCCGGGGACAGACTGTCTCTCCCGTTGCTGCCTCCAGTGCTGCCCCGCCGCGAATCGCCACGGAACGAGGGGTACAACATCGTCGTGGCGAGCCCGGAGCTCTGGCGGCCGCGTGATCCATCACCGCCTGCTAGCGATAGCTCCTCCTCGAGCGGCGTGGCGGCCGAGGACGACGACATGCTGGGTGTCCCTCTGCCCGAACTGGACGATGAAAATGTTGGCGTCGACGAGGGGGCGCAAATCCTCAGGCCAGACGACACCACACCCCTACATGAGTTCCGGGAAGGTTTCGCGGTCCTCAATAGGGAACCGTGCTCTGAGGAGGTGTGGTTGAGGTTTGTCGCCCTCGTCGACGAGATGACCGCCGAAGCTGCCGTCATTGTTAAGCTGCCCGGGAGACCGGGGGCAGGAGCCTCCGGCAACAGGACTGCGATTGACCCTACTGACGCCAAGGGAATCCAGTCCCTGTACAAGCGTAACAGGCGGCGAGCAGTGTGTCTCATCCTGTCGGGTGAGGGGCAATCATGTGATGTCGCGGTTCAAGACGTCGAGGACCACTTCCGGGACGTCTGGGCACCGTCCACATGCAATACTGATATATTTCCTAGGGTGGACGGCCGTGCTCCAGTGCGCCGATGTCTCCAAACGTCTCGGTAAATTCGAGAACACGGCGCCTGGAGACGACGGGTTCACCTATCGGCACTGGAAAAAACTCGACCCTGAGTGCACGGTCCTAACGGAGGTCATCAACGTATGCCTCCGCTACAAAATGGTACCACCCGCATGGAAGAAGGCAGTGACGGTGCTCATTTACAAAAAGGGAGCGAAGGAGGACCTCAACAACTGGCGGCCCATCTCACTCAGACGGACTCTGTATAAGCTGTATGTGGGATGTGTCGCCGGTCGGCTGACGGAGTGGCTTCTGTCAAACAAGGTCCTCAGCCCCTGCCAGAAGGGATTCCTGCCAGCAGATGGCGCGTTCGAACACGTCCACACCCTCAACAGGGTGCTCGAGAAGGCCAGGACCCACGCGGCGGACAAGTGAGTGGCCTGGCTGGACGTGTCGAACGCATTCGGCGCGATTCCGCACCCCGCTCTGGAGGCTGCAATCCATAGGAGCGGGGCCGGAGAGGACTTCCTTCTGGCCGCCCGCGACATTTACACGGGAGCGACGTCAGCGGTGAGCGTGGCAGGAGAGCTGACAAACGATATCCCGGTGAGGTCGGGTATCAAGCAGGGGTGCCCGCTGAGTGGTCTCCTGTTCATCATGGCCATCGACCCGGTGGTAGCGCTTCTGCTGGGCCAATCTGCCGACCACCGGGTACTCGCCTTCGCCGACGACCTGTGCCTGATAGCCGACTCTCCGGGGGAGCTCCAGGCATCCATCGACGCAGCGCATGACGGCCTGGAGATGCTTGGGCTCCGGCTGAATGCGGCAAAGTGTGCGTCGCTCCATTTGTCGGGTCGGTGTCCGGTGGGTGTCCGGGACACGCAATTTCTGCTGCGGGGTTCCCCCCTTCGTCCGCTTGCCGAGAGTGAAGCGGCCACCTTCCTCGGCGCCCAGGTCGGATTCAACGTCGTCCCACCTCTGTCCACCCTAGCGGAGATTATTGCCATCGGTCTGCGTATTGCCAGGAGCAAACTCGCGCCCTGGCAGCGGATCGATGCGCTCAAAACCTTTTTTTACCCCTCGACCATCCATTTACAACGGTTGGGGACATTCTCAAAGACGGATTGGGCTAGGGTAGACAGGATCCTGCGGCCTGAAATCAAGGCGACTCTATACTTGCCGCATGAGGCGTCGGGGGAGTACCTGTACGGGTCCACCAAGCGAGGCTGCTGCGGGATCCGACTCCTTGCCGAGGACTCCGACATCGCTGCTGTGGATAGTGGGTTCAAGCTGATCACTTCCCCGGACGTGAGGGTAGCCGGTGATGCTGCTGAGCACGTGCAGGAGGTCACCAGGCGGAGGATCAGCAAGGACCCCTCCATCCACGAGGTCGGCTCCTATCTATCAGGCGAGGAGGAAGGCGTGTTCCGGGAGGTCCGGGGCACGGGAGTCGCTGGTGTGTGGTCGAGGGCGCGGAACGCCTCCAAGCGGCTTGGTGTCAAGTGGTCGCTGGATGGTGCCCCCTCCATCACACACGAAGGCACGGTGCTGGGAGGTAAGCACAGGCGGGCGGTCATGAGAACCGTACGCGACACTCTGCGGCTCAAACGAAGCGACGCCTTGATCGCGAAACCGGATCAAGGTAGAGCCGTAGAGTGCGTGGCCGCCCACGCTGCTTCCTCCCACTTCTTGAGGGATGGCGACTTCACGAGGTTCGCCGACTGGCGCTTTGTGCATCGCGCCAGGCTAAACCTCGTGCCGTTGTATGGCTCCTCGTTGTGGCGAGCCTGTGACCGTAGGTGTAGACGATGTGGGTACATAAATGAAAGCCTATCTCACGTCGTCGACCGCTGCATGCGGTACACCGCGCTCTACATGGCGAGGCACAACGCCATAGTAGCCATAGTCGCCAGGATCAAGAAGGCGGCATCCACGAAGTTTGAGGTCCTCTCCGAGAATTAGGTCCTGGGCAACCAGGGCCTGAGACCGGATCTCGTTCTTAAGAAGGGCCCAAAAATCTTCGTCGTGGATGTCACCGTGCCTTTTGACAACCGGCTGGCCGCCTTTGAGGCAGCGGCGGCGGCGAAAAAAAGCAAGTACGAGCAACTTCAGGACGAGTTGGCAACACTACATGGGTGCGAGGCTACGGTTGTGCCATTCATTGTCGGCGCCCTAGGATCTTGGGACCCGTCCAACGACGCCTTTATGAGGGTCCTCTGTAGCCGGTCCTATGCCACCCTAATGCGCAAGCTGTGCGTAAGCGACACGGTCGCGGCTACCCGAAATGTATATATTGAGCACCTCTCAGGGGTGCGTCAGGTCAGGCCTTAAGCCTGCCCGACTATTTTTTTCAATTATACCTTTAAAATTATTTTATTTATTTATTTTTTTTTTTTTTATCTATTTATTTTTTGTGTATTTATACCATTATATTTCTTTTATCCCCCAATTTATATGTACCCCCCATGTCTATTTTAACTGCCATTACTGTATACTCTTTTAAATATTTTTAAATTAAAATCTGTTCTTATCAGCTTAACATCTGATACATCTTTCATTGAAAGGTTCAAATGTTAAACTAATTTTTTCAAATTTGGTGGAGACTTTGATGCTTGCTCCTGCTCCACCGCGGGTTGACCCGGTATTGCAGTCCCACCGGGAACGGCCCACATATTAAACAATAATACTATTAACTGGAAGAATTCAATCTTCAAATTTGAATTTGGAAAAATTTTCTGAATAATTTTTGAATTTTGAAATTTGAAGTTTTGGAATTTTGGATTTTTTTGGAAATTGTTCATTTGAGATTTCAGATGTACGTAAATCTGTAGACTTAGGTTATTCATTATCATGGAAAACCAAATGTTCAAATTTTTAAAGACTGAATTTTTTAAACATTCAAAATTAAAATTAGAGAATCTCAAATTCTCGTGATTTTGGAAACACGAAATAGTTAATGGTTTTTTTTGGGAGATTCTACGTACCTACACTATGATTTTATTAACTCGAGTCAAGTACTTATAATATACTACTTTAGAACATTTTCGAACAGTAAAAAAAAGTTTTGTTCTATTATATTGATGAGTGGTGACCACAGTCCACAACTAGAGCTATTTTATTATATCTTTGCAGAACGTGTCGTATTGTTTGAAAAAAGTAGTAGAATACAACAATTAATATAAACGAATAAATTATTATTTGTATTTAGTCGTGGAAGGAGATCGTGCGATGCCAGCCCCAAGTTCTTGGCATAGGAACGGCTGCATAACTTCCTTAGAAGCACATCATTGGCCGGGTCCCATGAGCCGAGGGAGCCAACGATGAAGGGGTGAACAATGACTTCACCCGAGACGTCCGTAAAAGATGTTTGGGCCTTTCTTCAGAACCAAATCCGGTCTCAAGCCCTGGTTACCCAAGGCTTGATTCTCGAGGAGGTTAGGTTAGGTTTGATCACACCCGTGCTGAGCCACCAAGTACGCCCGATATTGCTCATATTTTGCCCTCTTCTCTGCTGCCGCCACCTCGAAGGCAGCGATCTGGTTGTCAAACGGCACGGTGACGCCTACGCTATAGATGTTTGGGCCCTTCTTCAGAACTAAATCCGGTCTCAAGCCCTGGTTGCCCACGACTTGATTCTCGGAGAGAACCTCAAACTTAGTGGACGCCGCCTTCTTGATTCTGGTGACAATCGCGTTAAATGTTTGGGCCCTTCTTCAGAACTAAATCTGGTGTCAAGTCCGGGTAATCCAGGGCTTGATGCTATTAGGGGCTAGGTTACATTTGATCTTAGCCGATAGGCTGAGATGCCGGAGGTTAGACTCGTGCTGAGCTGCCAAGTACGCCCGTAGTTTGTTCTATGATGCCCTCTTCATCCAAGTTAAACATTATGCTGTGATTAATTCATTATTTGGTATCTAAAATCTTTCAATGTTTATTAAACATATTAGAAGTTTATCTAACATGTTTTGTGATTATTTACACATTAGAGGCAATTTTTGTTTTATTTATAGGGTAATATGATTTCTAAGTACATACTTGATTAATAAACTTCATCGACAAATTATTAAACACTACCTACCGAATACCGTAGAAGTACTATACCTACTATTGGACAAAAATTAAATAAATAATTCAATATTAGTGTCAACTTTCAGCAAAGTAGTATTTATGATTTTTTCTATCGTTGACAAACATTTTTTTTTAATATAAGAAATGAAGAACATGGCAATTTACTGTTTAAAGTATATATGAGCAGAATAGTTTAACAACATTTTTTGCGTTAGCACTACACCCCCTCATAAAAACTAGAAATGCATATATCTCAATAAACTAAAGCCCAAATTTGGCAGAAGTATGTCACTTTTACGTCAATGTGGGTCATTTTTTTCAAATGTAATATTTGTGGGTTTTTGTTATATCAATATAATCAGATATTTTATACCTACTTCTACCTCAGAAAATTGCTAAAATAAATAATATCACAAACTAGAGGTAAGATAAGAATCAAGACTCTCTGCATAATTAATTAACCAAAAACTTTACTTTCAGAAGAAAATTTCAAAGAAATGGTTGGTATAATTATTAATATTTAATTAACAATTTAATATTCCATTAAAAATAATAAATATTATTACATATTAAACATTACATTAAATTTGATGAAAATGATTTCCAATTTCGGGTAATAAACTAATAAACTACCTATTAAATGATGCACTTGACCCTGAATTTTTAAAAGTGGGCATGAAGTTCCCTTCAGCTATTTCGTTTGATTCAAACGATGTCATTTGAAACAGAATATTATACCGTCTAGAATTATCAAAGAAATGTTTAGATAGAGGGTGAGAATTATCAATTAAACTTTTAATTAATTCTGTATGATCCTCAAATTGTTGTAAAACAACTTTACCGTCAGCGCAGCAAAGTCCATTGGTTTTATCTTTCCATTTTTTTGCATGGCACTTGGGACATAATATCGTCATTGGTCCTATTTGAAGCGCTTTAATATTTAAATAATCAATCTCGGATTGATAATTAAAAGCTGATTTCATACTCAAAGCGTTACGTTGCTCCTGTGCAAGTGTTTGAGAACGTTCTGTTGTGTTATACATTCTGTTATACATTCGAGTAGCATTGGCAGTTCTTCTGCCAATGTATGCTCTTGGCGCTCTTGGCATGATGATGAATTAGCCACTTACCCGAAATTTAACTCATAAGAATAATCAAAAAATAAGCACAAACTATGCTCGTAATTGGCGTACTCGTAATTCACGAAAAATAATAACTCAAATCAACAAACATGCCCGATTAACCAATAGCAACTATTATTATTTTAATCTGCAACAACAACTTTTTATTATTTAGTTTATTTTTTTCTATACAGATTGCGCCACTGTTGTATTTTTGACATCCATATTTCCTACTTTCTGGTGGATTTTTCTAAACAAAAGTGATTATTATATACATACTGTTTGTATTCGTTTTGAGGTGCTACATAAGACATAGTATGGAAACAAACAAATATACTTTACTGCCCCACCTATTATTTTAATTTTTTTTTAACACTTGTTTTTCATGGTTAAAATTATGATACAAAAATTGCTTTTTCGAAACTATTACTTTTAGAAGTTGTAGCTATTTCGAATTTACTTTTGTAATTAGGTTATACTGAAGACTACAGAGCTAAGCTACTAAAGAGTTACCAAAAAAAGTATAAACACAGTTTTTTTGTATAGTTATTTAAAGTTCAAATTTCGATAAAATTACATATAACCAAGAATAACGATTTTAGTTATTTTGCTGTAATTAAAAAATATTATTCGCGGGTAGGTACTTGAAACTTCTAAAATATATTCTTATATTCAAATATGATGATTTACATTTAATAATAATTCAACTTATCGACTATCGTATTAATAATAAAAATATAAAAATAATATAAGATATCCTATTCGGACAAACTGTTTCCGCTCAGAATTATTTTTTCGTATATTATAATTTATAATATTATATCATTGGATTCAAATTTAACACCATCCATTACAGTGACCCATGGGTGTACTTGTAAATTGTCACCTTCTGTGCAGTAGAGTGACACACAATTACCCGTTTTTTATTTTGTTAACAATGATACCATGATTGACAACTACTATGAATTATATAATTTTTTTTAACAACAATTACATACATATTTTTTGTGTGTGTTAGGCACTAAGTTTTCAACAATACCGCAGCGATTATACCATCACGGATTTGCTTACTCTCTTCCTCTCGCCAGGTGGTTTGAGAACAACAGACTTTAGGATCTCAGCGCTTATTGGGATCCTCCCAGACACTTTCGCTGTCGAGGATTTGCTTACTCTCTTCCTATCGCCAGGTGGCTTGAGAACAACAGACCTTAGGATCTCAGTGGTTATTGGGATCCTTCCATACACTTTCTCAACTTTCGCTGTCGAGGAAGAGCTTGATTTGTCTGAATCTGATTTTTTTGGAGTATTCTGAGACAACGGCGCCGGGGGTGCGGGTGGCAGTGGTTGACAAAATACACTAGTCGACGGGGGTGCAGGTGGCGATGGAGGAAAAACTGCTCCACTCGGCCCGGGTTTTGCCATTGGTGGCATATCATAATGAGATGGAGCTGCAGCGAATAAAGCTGGTTCGCCGTAACAGCGGTTATCGGGAGGAAACATTCCAGCGGACCCGAAGGATTGTGATCTAGTCCACTCCAACGAACGATGTGAATAGTTCATACCGATGACGTGTGAAGTGTTTTTCATTACATCTCCTGCACACATGCATATCGTACACACATAAAAAATATGTTAAGTAAAAACTATAAAATTGATTCATGCAGTATACATCAAAATGACATAGACAGTGTATATCATACTTTCTAGGGTTGCAATCCTCGTCTTAATATCCTTATATTTGCGCATCGGCTTCTCCGAGTTACCTTTTTACAA